ACATGAGTGCTCACCTTGGATGATGAAGAAGAATCTGGAGGTCGCTATTAAGGACCTGCAGCACCGCCTGGATGAGGCTGAGAACCTGGCCATGAAGGGTGGCAAGAAGCAGCTCCAGAAACTGGAGTCCAGGGTAAGAAAGTCCTCTTATGATTTGTACAGCTAAATCAAGACTTTAAAAAAATACGGAAAATCATTCATTTTCTCATCGTTTTTAAAGGTGCGTGAGCTTGAGACAGAGGTTTAGGCTGAGTAGAGACGTGGAGCAGATGCCGTAAAGGGTGTCCGTAAATATGAGAGGAGAGTGAAGGAGCTCACCTATCAGGTACAGACACTGAAAATAAAGAAAGACCAAATTCTCCATTACTGTTACCATTTAAAATATTAATATTTGCATATGTATGATTGGTTTTTCTTGTTTTCTTGTTATCTGTCCAAGTGTAGGAAGGTCGGGCACGTGCTGGAGGAGGCTGAGGAGCGTGCAGACATTGCAGAGTCCCAGGTCAACAAGCTGAGAGCAAAAACCCATGACTCTGGCAAGGTAACTAAATGCAATTTTAGTTAATTCAGGTAATTTAGTTAATTATTCTTTGAGGGCGCCGCAGTGGTGTGGTGGTTAGCACGGTCGCCTCACAGCAAGAAGGTCCTGGGTTTGACTCCGCCCAGCAGCCTTTCTGTGTGAAATCTGCATGTTCTCCCTGTGTCTGCGTGGGTTCTCTCTGGGTACTCCAGCTTCCTCCCTCAGTCCAAAGACACTCTAAACTGCCCGGAGGTGTCTGAATGTGAGTGTGAATAGTTGCATGTCTCTGTGTAGCCCTGCGATTGGCTGGCGACCAATCCAGGGTGTATCCTTTCTATCTGTCTGAAGTTGGCTGGGATAAACTCCAGCACAACCCTGCGAACCTGTGTGCAGGATAAGCTGTTCGCAGATGGATGGATGGATTATTCTTTGATGTATCTGTAAATGTGTTTGATCAGATTTTGATCAGTTTCTATTATATTTACTTTACAAGGAATTATGTTTAAATACTGTAAAATGAACTGATCAAAATGACTGTCACCTTAAGTGTATTCAAATTAACCCAATCCTTTGTTTGTAGAGGGCCTTCACATCTTCCGCCGCAAACTAAAGACACACCTCTTCAGACTCTACCTCGACTAAAGACTAACAAATTGTAGCACTTAAATTGTACTTGTAACGTCACTCATCTATAGCAAATTGGCTTATTTGAGGAAATTGCACTTTCTTGTTTCTTGTTCTCCTGAGTTTGTACCCTATGGTTGAATGCACTTATTGTACGTCGCTTTGGATAAAAGCGTCAGCTAAATGACATGTAATGTAATGTAATGTTTGTTTTTTACAGGGTAAAGAAGCTGCTGAGTAAAGTTTATGTGTTAAATCATACAATATCATACAATTCATGCCAAAACAATAAATGTTAAACTGTTGATATGATATTCTGTCTACAGAACTCTTACCACTTTATTTTCCAATAAAGGATGTTGAGATGAGATTTGAATAATTTTTCTGTTATCTTTTCTTATCTTTAACGGTAACCAAGTTTTTACAGATGCTATTTAATAAAGATTGATTTTGTTAGTGAATAAGTAAATCTAAACTGTTTATTAATTTGTACAACATGTAACATTGTTGATGCCCCCTGAGGAGGGATTAAAACATTCTCAGCAAACCAGTCACCAAAAATAGCAAAAAAAAGTCCTTAACATTTGAGTTGAAGGTGGTGTGTGCAGCTGAAACGGAAACAACCGACAGTATCACTTAATTCACTTTAGTCCTAACCTAAGCACAGGAATAGATATATTCATTGCATAATCTCATTTACGGGCTATTTTTGGAAGCCACAGGCAAGACTGAGACTGCTCAGTAAATCCTTGAACCACAACTTGAATACTCATATAGGCTACTGTATGACTCTTATAAGAGTGGTCAGCCGCACTTGTTACTCAAAATCAATAAAAATATAGTATGTATGTATACTAGCTAAATAAATATTTAGTAAAATATGCAGAAGCCAAACTAGTTAGATCATATACAAAAAACAATGTGTGCACCTACATTAAAACATATAATCAAAGACAACTATTAATCGGTTGCAAGTGTGATCTAAGTGGCTATTGGTGACACTTTATTTTCAGAAAAAATTGATTTGGAATGAAAATCATTTGTACAACAGGATTTTTATCAGATTGCAAAACCATTAAAAAACCATGTCACTTACAATTACATTTTCAGAGTGTTTTCCACACTGCAAGTTCAACACTATTGCCTGTGACATTTAAAAATGATATTGCTCGACAACTGGAACGAGGTTGACATTCAACATGCACTGCAAGGGACCAAAAATGGACTTGAAGCTATGTCTGCAGAGTCAGTAGAAGTGTTAATAGCTTGACATATGAGTGTGACAAGCACAGGTATATCTCTTACATGGAAACCTAAATATGAGGAGTCTGTATTATTATTTTTCAGTATTTATTTCCTGGGAAACTGTGAACGTATTCACTATTGCTGAAATAATTTACTTTTTAAGTGTATTCTTCGTTTAGTATTTTTTAATCAGACAATTAAAAAATGTAACAATTAAATATTAAGATAGACTTTCATACATGTTTATTATAAAATATAAATGTACTATTTTAGTTAGGCATTATCACAAATTGAGGATGTGCATTTATTAACGGAAACCTGAAACATAAGATGTACCAGCAACAAGTGCCACTCATGTAAGCAACAGCTGTGAAACTTACCATATCTGTCATGTGTCCCACATTTAACTTCTGCCTGGCAAGCAAAAGTGGTTCAACATAAGGATTCCCTTTCCACCTTGTGAGTGTGGTAGATTTATGAAGCTCATGTTTGAGGTGAAATAATCTGTGCTTAACACCACAATAGTCCAAATAGCATTGTAGTACAACATTATCTGTTCCGACAGGATGCAAGCAATATGTTTCAATTTATTCAACATGCAGCGTTTTCTACTTTGTCTACAAAAATAGGATAGGAATGCACAACAAAAACTAATCCACACAGAAAGAAAGTACAACTCAATTACATGAACTACGCATAAACGGAATTAACAAACTTAAGTAACCACCTAGTATTATGACTATAGTCAGTCAACAGGTGGTAAAAAAATTGAGAATCTAAGGGATACTGAAATAGACATAGAGAGGTTGTGAAGTGTTTGAACAGCTTATGATGCTGGTGAGTGCATGCAAACATTCCTTGACTAATTCACGGATCAAATAATATGTTCCCATCAGTTATTGCTGGGGAGCCGCAGCCCTGCCTGGATGAGGCTTTAAAGAGCGGCAAGAATTACATCTGTAAACTAAAGGAGCTTGTTTACGTGTGTTGTAGATTTCAACACAAACCTGAAAACACAAAAAAACTGTAAAACATGAAGATTTATGTAGTTTCAAAAACTGATGAAATGCATCGCTAGGCTGACAGAACTGGTAGTCAGAAGACCTATTTGAACATGATGTGGCATCAGTATGAGATCCCTGTCATGCTCCTGAGATGTAAATGAGATGTAGATGTAAAATGAAATGTAAACGTGTAAGTGCTCAGCTTACAAGCTAACAGCTAGAAGCTGGCCAGCTAGACGGAAACATCAGGGGTTATGACAATTATTGAACTTAAAATTGTATGAAATGAAAAGGCTGAAAAATGGTCACCTACATGCTTCTTAATTCTTTCTTAAACAGAAAAAGAAGACAACTAATAAGCCCATTCTGGCTCCAAAGATGAAAAAACCTATACTTTGCATACAAACATCTGCATTTCTATAAATAATGATTGCTCCCAATGCCCAAACATCCTGTGTTGTTTTGGGATCACAGCTGTGTCACTCCCTTCCCCTACATTCTGAACGATCTTACTCATTTGCTTAGGACACATGGCTTCATGGCAGCTGCCCTGACTAATAGAAAAAAACTCTAAATATTACATAACTTTCACAGATCCCAATGCCTCAAAGCATTCCTGAAGCAAATCTACTGCTACATGTGTTGAATAATATGTTTATTTTGAAGTGTAATGATCATATTTTTCACTACATATACTACTATGTGGTTTCATCAGCCATTGGCCCGAAATTATGAAAAAACAGCAACATACAATGGGTGATGATTGCGCTGTGGAGTAAAGCTAGACCATAGCGGAATGTTGTGCCTTCTTTCACATTAAAATAGTTGATATCTTATTTTTGGTCCTCATCTTCGTCACCTCTAATGATGACTTTAAGATGCAATTTATTGTTCTCAATTACGACTACACATAAAGGGATATGAATTTTTGCCAATGAAAAATGATAATTATGGCTAAAAATGGGAACAGTTCTGGTACAATGTTTATCCTAGAGCACCGAGGATGTTCTGAAAAACAAGTTGCAAAATACGATTCTAATACGAGTATAATAATCATATTTTGAATGGATCACTTCAACAGAGATGCAAAATAATGATAAAGATCTACTTGGGGTATGTTGCAACCAAAAGGTTTGGTTGCAACAACACTTTGAGGTTAAAGAATTTACACCTAAAGCCTATATATAGCCTAAGGGTAACAGTCATACGCGTAAACCAAGAGTGAAATGTGTGATGCTATGCAACTTTTGTGTATGGATTAAAAATGTAAGCATTTCTTACATCATCTATATCATAATCAAACAAACAATAGAAATGTGCAGCTGAAAAAGCCTTCTGTAGTGATATAGAGGTAATCACTGGATCAATTTAGAATTTAGAAAAGCAGGATGTAAAACCGTAAATGCAAATCTATTGAATGGATCCGATGCATATGTACTGCTCTAGTTAGAGTTATTTGATATAATAGATATGTTTGGCCTCACTGGCAGGAATCCAAAACACTAGATGTACATCAACACCTGTCTCAATCGATGACTATAGCACACACCAAACTTGGCACGTGCCCATATTTAACCAATGCTGCGTAAGCGTCCCGGGTTCAATATAAGCAGCCCAACACCACAGAGCAGTTGTGGTAGCAGACCTTGGAGACTTCAGCTTGTGGTAAGCATATGTTGTATGTGTTTTAGAGAATGTATTATATATTAGAGGAAATGTTTCTCGTTAAACATACATTTACACACCAGTATTAATAACGGTAAATACATATGTTCCAAACAGGATTGTGGAATTCATATCAAGATTTCAGATAGAGTGGGTCAGGTATGAACATCTTTCAATTATACTAATTAGTTTGTTTCCTATTGAAAACATTTCATTCAGTTGCAAAGTTGTTCAGTTTTTACTCACTTAATCATTTGATTGAACTTCTTGACTCTGTGTTGTTAAGAAATAACTTATTTTTTAAAGAAGACTAATATGATTTGTCTTATTTATTATAACCCTTAGAGAAGTAAACTGCCACCATGAGTACGGACGCGGAGATGGCCACTTATGGCAAAGCTGCCATTTACCTTCGTAAGCCAGAGAAGGAGAGGATTGAGGCCCAAAGCGCACCATTTGATGCCAAGAGTGCCTGCTACGTGGCTGATGTTAAGGAGCTGTACTTGAAGGCCACAATCCTCAAGAAAGAGGGTGGAAAAGTCACCGTCAAAGTCCTGACCACTCAGGAGGTTGGTAACATAAAGTCATAGTCAGTTGGGATTCCAATATGATCAGTTCTAATTGTGACGAATGTCTTGTTACAGGAGAAGACAGTTAAAGAAGATGATGTCAGCCCAATGAATCCTCCCAAGTATGACAAGATTGAGGACATGGCCATGATGACCCATCTCAATGAAGCCTCTGTGCTGTATAATCTCAAAGAGCGTTATGCAGCATGGATGATCTACGTAAGATAATCTAAATAACAGTAAAAGGAAAATTGACTTTGAAAAAGGGACTTTATTTTTTAGAAAAAATAATGTTAAATGTTGTATCTCTGTGATCACTTTCAGACCTACTCTGGACTGTTCTGTGCCACTGTGAACCCCTACAAGTGGCTCCCAGTGTACGATGCTGAATGTGTATCTGCCTATAGAGGAAAGAAGCGTATGGAGGCTCCACCCCACATCTTCTCTGTCTCTGACAACGCCTTCCAGTTCATGCTAACTGGTAAGCAATTATCATTACAACACAGAAAATATCTTTAATTTATGTCTTCATTGCAGTGAAACCTAGTTCATTCTTTTGTTTCTTATTTAACAGATAGGGAGAACCAGTCCGTCTTGATTACGTAAGTTTGGTCCATTTAAAATGGTTAACTCCGTTGAAGATAGTCTAATAATCTTGATCAAATTCTTAAAAGTATTTGTCTATGCCTAGTGGAGAATCTGGTGCAGGAAAGACTGTGAACACCAAACGTGTCATCCAGTACTTTGCAACTATCTCAGTTGGTGGACCGAAGAGGGACGCATCAAAAGTATGTGCCTATGATTACAATATGGGGTTCTTTATCAATGGATCACTTTTCCAGTAATTCCGAGTAATTTTCTAAAACCACTTCTGGACAACACTGGATTTTAGGGGTCACTGGAGGATCAGATTATTGCTGCCAATCCTTTGCTGGAGGCCTATGGTAACGCCAAAACTGTGAGGAATGACAACTCCTCTCGTTTTGTAAGTAGGAAACAATTTCTACACACGTGTAAGGCCTTGTTACTAATTGTCCATGTATAGCGACATTAAAAATGTCTTCCTTCCAAACAGGGTAAATTCATCAGAATCCATTTTGGCACAACTGGCAAACTGGCTAGTGCTGATATTGAGACATGTAAGTAAAAAGGCTTCTAGTCCATACAAATGACTGAAATTGAGAATTGGTATGAATCTGACTAATAAACAATTTGTAGATCTGCTGGAAAAGTCTAGAGTGACATTCCAGCTTCCTGATGAGAGAGGCTACCACATCTTCTACCAGATGATGACTGCCCACAAACCCGAGCTGCTTGGTAAACAGACTGAGATGTTACAGTACTTCAGATACTTACAGTTACAGTTTAGTTCCAACAGATGTATCAACCTTTTTAACCTTTTTTTGATCACCAGACTTGTGTCTCATCACAACCAACCCCTACGACTTCCCCATGTGCAGCATGGGTCAGATCACTGTGGCCAGCATAGATGACAAAGTTGAGCTGGAAGCCACTGATGTGAGTGATCTTCACTATAAACTAATTAAGTATATTTTGTACAATGCATGCTAAATAAATTCTGTCTCTTTAAGTTCATTTTCTAAAAGGATTGTGTGGACATATATTTTTTTTTAATTCAGAATGCTATTGATATCCTGGGCTTCTCAAATGAAGAGAAGCTGAGCATCTACAAGATGACTGGTGCAGTGCTCCACCATGGTAACATGAAGTTCAAGCAAAAGCAGCGTGAAGAGCAAGCTGAGCCTGATGGCACAGAGGGTGAGAAGCTTGGGAACAACAGTTTAAAGATGAGTAGAGTTCTTAATGAGACTGGATTCTGTTCATGTCATGATGGAAATCACTGTTGTGTATTCAGATGCTGACAAGGTTGCTTACCTGCTGGGTCTCAACTCTGCTGACATGCTGAAAGCTCTGTGCTATCCCAGAGTCAAGGTCGGAAATGAGTATGTCACCAAGGGACAAACTGTACCTCAGGTAAACATAAATTATCCATATACAAGTATTTGAAAATACATACATGACATGGGTTCTGTCAAATAGTCTATTGTTACTGTCTTTAAAATCACTAATGATCAACTATCACTTATGAAATTATATCCTTAATTTTATTCAGGTGATGAACTCTGTTCCTGCCCTGGCCAAGTCTATTTATGAGAAGATGTTCTTGTGGATGGTCATCCGCATTAACCAAATGTTGGACACTAAACAACCAAGGCAGTTCTACATTGGAGTCCTGGATATCGCTGGCTTTGAAATCTTTGATGTAAGATAATCCAACAATTCAGTTGCTAATGCTTTTAATGCTTAAACATCTTTATACATGAAATGAATAACTTTTGGTAATCATGTGTGTCCTTGCAGTTCAACACACTCGAGCAGTTGTGCATCAACTTCACCAATGAGAAACTGCAACAGTTCTTCAACCACACCATGTTTGTCCTGGAGCAAGAGGAGTACAAGAAGGAGGGCATTATCTGGGAGTTCATTGACTTTGGCATGGACTTGGCTGCTTGCATTGAGCTGATTGAAAAGGTAATCAGTTCATTTTGTTCTATGTCATTTTTTTCATGTTGACTTAATGTGTATCCTGATCACAGACTTCTTCCCATTTTCTTCAAGCCCATGGGCATCTTCTCCATCCTTGAAGAGGAGTGCATGTTCCCCAAGGCAACAGATACATCCTTCAAGAACAAGCTGTATGACCAGCATCTTGGCAAAAACAAAGCATTTGAGAAGCCAAAGCCTGCCAAGGGCAAGGTGGAAGGCCACTTCTCCCTGGTGCACTATGCTGGTACCGTGGACTACAATATCACCGGCTGGCTGGACAAGAACAAGGATCCACTGAATGAGTCTGTCATCCAGTTGTACCAGAAATCCTCTGTGAAACTGCTGCCTGTCCTGTATCCCCCAGTAGTAGAAGGTATGATAGTAACCTGAGTAAACTAAAACACATTGTAAGGTTATGAATACTGTAGATTTTCAATTGTTGCATGTTTTGATGTTAATGTATATGTTGGTATTAAAAAACCTTCTCTACTTAAATTGATCATCAGAGACTGGTGGGAGCAAGAAAGGAGGCAAGAAGAAGGGTGGTTCTATGCAGACTGTGTCTTCACAGTTTAGGGTAAGATTTAAAATTGTAAACCTGCCTTATGTATCTTAGTTTATGACCAAACTAACAGTTTCCACCATTTTGGATCCACAGGAGAACTTGGGCAAGCTGATGACTAACTTGAGGAGCACCCATCCTCACTTTGTGCGCTGCCTGATTCCCAATGAGTCTAAGACTCCAGGTACACAGACAACTTAATCAAACAATCTTTTAAGAGTGGCTTTGTTTTCGTTTGTTGTCATGGTCTACATCATTCTATAGAAAAACGATTCAATAAATTACTTAAAAAAACTTTTTCCCAGGTCTCATGGAGAACTTCCTGGTTATCCACCAGCTCCGGTGTAACGGTGTGCTGGAGGGTATCAGAATCTGCAGGAAAGGTTTCCCAAGCAGAATTCTCTATGCTGACTTCAAGCAGAGGTATCAATTGATATTTCATACATTTTATTGTTGATTATCAAAATCAAAGTTTACAAATGAGCAATTAACTCTCTTATAAAAGGTACAAGGTGCTGAATGCCAGTGTCATTCCTGATGGCCAGTTCATTGACAACAAGAAGGCTTCAGAGAAGTTGCTTGGGTCAATTGATGTTCCTCATGATGAGTATAAATTTGGACACACCAAGGTAAGCACTTTGCTTTCCTTATTTAACCAAATATTAATTATCAAGTAGGTTCAGTTGTTTATTGTCTGCCACTTTTATTGGGCCTTTCTTATTTAACCAAATAATAATTACTAAGTAGATTCAGTCTTTTGGTTGTAGTTGTTTTCTTTCAATCCATCCACAGCTATTCTCGCATACTGCTAAATTTGCAATGCTTTTTTATAATGGTGAAGGACCTGTTATGGATTTTGTGGTTATTCCTCACTACTTTTAATCTGTCGTTCAATTGGCCACAATTAAATATGCTCCAGTTTGGACATTTTAATATGTGTACAATATATATATATATACTTCATCACTTGTCGATAAGATTCCCAATTGATCAAGAAATGCTTCAGTTTGGACTGTCCAAATAAACGTTACAGAATATATAATTCACAAACTGGCCTGGATACCAAAGAAATCCAGTTATCCTGGGAAAAATAATCTGTGCAAGGCAGTTTACTGCAATACATTTTGCGTGTCGCTACGCAGAATGTGTTGTCTAATGTCAACAGGAGAACCTTTTGTTTGTTTTTAGCTGACATCAGAACACATTATTTTGGGGCCATTGGGGGACAGTTTCATCGATAAAAAAACAGCATGTTAACTTGTGAGTGAAAAATACCTTTGACACACGTTGGGTTTAAAAAGAAACGGATTTGTGTTGTATCCACTCAAATACATACTTTGTAGACAGACCTTGAGGAGTTTTATGTGACGAAACATGTATTTCAAAATTGTATCCTTCCAATCATTTATTTTTTGTTTGTTTAGGTGTTCTTCAAGGCCGGTCTGCTGGGTACCCTTGAGGAGATGAGAGATGAAAAACTAGCATCACTGGTCACCATGACCCAGGCTTTGTGCAGAGGTTACCTCATGAGAAAGGAATATGTGAAGATGACAGAGAGGAGGCACGTTAAAAACAGTTCATTTTGAATGAAGTAATACAAAAATCAGACACGATGTTCATAACAGCTATTTCCATTCTGCAGGGAAGCCATTTATACCATCCAGTACAATGTTCGCTCATTCATGAATGTGAAACACTGGCCATGGATGAAGGTGTACTACAAGATCAAGCCACTGCTGAAGTCTGCTGAAACTGAGAAGGAGCTGGCAAACATGAAGGAGAACTATGATAAGATGAAAACTGACTTAGCTGCAGCCCTGGCCAAGAAGAAGGAATTGGAGGAGAAGATGGTGTCCCTTCTGCAGGAGAAGAACGATCTGCAGATGCAAGTAGCATCTGTGAGTACACCTCATCAGACAGTTTTTCTTTTTCATGTTTTTGGTTGTTAGTTTGCTAGTGTCAATTTTAATTCAATGGACTAGGAAGGAGATAATCTCTCAGATGCTGAGGAAAGATGTGAGGGTCTTATCAAGAGCAAGATTCAGCTGGAGGCCAAACTCAAAGAGACAACTGAGAGACTGGAGGATGAAGAGGAAATCAATGCTGAGCTCACTGCCAAAAAGAGAAAGCTGGAAGATGAATGCTCTGAGCTCAAGAAAGATATTGATGACCTGGAGCTTACCTTGGCCAAAGTGGAGAAGGAGAAACATGCCACTGAGAACAAGGTTTGTAAATTATAATCTAATCACATTATCAAGTAAAATGATAATGATGAGCTCCTATTGACAAGATCTTTCTTGCACACTTAGGTCAAGAACCTGACCGAGGAGATGGCCTCTCAGGATGAGAGC